CCCCCCCCCCCCCGTTTTCCACGTGGACTTGTTTCGCGCGAATAAAAGCCGCGTAAATCGAGTACGTAAGTACAGAAATAAAAATGTTGAATATCAATGACTGAGTATAAAATATAAGTATAAGTATAAATGAAGAAATAATCGCGACATTTCGGAATACGAGAGTATAGAGTTGAGTTTTTACTCGACGTCAACGTCTTTTTCTTTTTTAATTGGCTGAAATACTCGAAAGATCGACTTCGCTACGGTTCATGTAAATCATTTTCGGACGATCTTTCGTCGATATTTGCTACAGATTCGCTGGAACATCCCGTGAAATTTTGACGAAGTTCGAAGGCTCTATGAACGTTTTAAAACAACTTCTACAACGGCGCTTAATTTTTCGACCAATTCGAAGCAAATCGGGGGACAGGCGCGTCTTCGAGCAGCGAGCGCGAAAGAAGAAAATTTACGGCTCCGATCATCGATTCCCATCGCAACTGTACGCTAACTCCGCTGAGACAACAATCGTCCTCGGACGGGATCCGTTTCGACGGCGAGAAAAAATAACCGTGGACGAACGAGCGGCTCGCGTTCTATTCAGAAATTCCGTGTACATTTTTTTGTTCGCCGCGACCTCCCACGATTCGAACGAATCGCTCGGAGAACCGACTAACGGCCGAAGAATTCGCGAGATCCCGTCGAACGATCGGATCCCGTCGAACTTGGTAGAGCCAGTTACGAGTGGAACCGTTGAGTCAACAACCTCCGTATCCCTGGGATCCGGGGGCATCGCCTCAAGGTCTCCGCAAGATCCACCTGGCGGCTCGAAGTTTCGTCAGAGCTCGTTAATGAGCCGTCGCGCTTGTCTTGAGGAGATAACGGTGCCGGTGCCGATGCCGGTGCCATCGCCGCCGCCGCCGCCGGTCTCGGGGTCGTTTTATGCGGGAATTCCACAAGATACCTGTGAAATCGCGCGGATGACTCACCTGTGTGAGGTGGCACGGGATGGAGAGGCGAGGCATGGGCGGCGATCGAGAGGCAGCCCAGCGCCAGGAAGATCATCATGGAACCACGGAGCGAAGAAGAAGACGGATGTCCGTTCGCCGGGTTCCTGGAGGGGACCATCGCGGCCCTCGGGGCCCGTTTGCGTTTGCTCCGGCTCCGGGTCGGGGTCCGTGCCCTCTTTCTCCTCCGCTTCCCCTCGCCCCCCTCCCCCTCCTCTTCCCCTTCTTCGCCGATGGTCAGGGCCGTAGCAGGCATCGGCGCGAGGTTCTTCGGCCCAGCAACAACTAATGGCGCTATCTGCCTTTCGTCGTACAGCCGACCACCGCGCTTTGCGAGTCACCCGCCAGGCTCATCTCTCTTCCTCTCTCGGCCTCTCTTCGCCCTCCTCTCTCCCGCGATCCGTCTCGGTTCTTCTCCTCCTCCGCCTCCTCCTCCTCCTCCTCTTCCACCTCCTCCAGGGAACACGGTTCCGCCACGTCCTCTCTTTCTCTTCTTTCTCCTCCGTAGGTCGCTCAACCTTTCGACCCTACCCCGCCGCCGCCGCCGCGCCGCAGCCTTTTTTTCTTTCACCCGGTCCTCTATCCGCCTCACCTTCGACGATCGGCCACCTCTTCGACCTCCACGATCGATCCTTCCGCGCCCCACGCCCTTCTTCTCTTTCTCCTCTTCTTCTTCGTCGTCGTCGTCGTCGACGTCGTTCCTGTTCCCGTTGTCGTCGTCGCTGCCGCCGCCGTCGTCGTCTGCAAAGAAAAGAACGGACCGAGATTAATTTACGAACGCCGTCACCACCTTCACAGTTTTCGAGGCTTTTCGGCTCCTCGTGGAAATTCCGCCGGGATAACGCCGGATCGATTCGCGCACCCAAACGTCCCCCCCGCACTCCGACGCGGTCTTCGGCGATTCCTGCGCCGCGATCGACGGATCCGCGATCAAACCTTCGAGGACCAGCGCTTTTTATTGCAGGATGTTTTTTGGAGATTTCGAGACGCGTCCGATGATCTCTTGTTGCGATTATTATTATTTTTGCGTTTCTTTTTCATCGAAGAAAGGTGTATCAGATGTTACAACTATACGGCAGTTTACGCGCAACTCTTTCACGCGGCAAATGGCAACACTTTCTACCCGGTAAATTGTTGCACTGTTTACCCGGTGCTTAAAAGACAGATCGTTCGTTATCTCGCGCCTTCCGGTTTTGAAAGTCTTCCGGTTACAACGAATCCTTAGCCGAAACCTTCTTACGTAACTCGACTCTGCCTGGCATTGCCCGCAGTAACCCAGCTTTATTCTTTTTTACGATCGGACCGCGGATCTTTGCGTAAAACAAAAGTGCCCCGTATTCGTCGTAAGAAACGGAAGTTGAATGAAATAATTTAGCCGAGATCCGCGTAACGCGAGATCGTCGAAAATGTCGCGAAAATGTTGCGAAAAATGTATGCAGATATAATTATACAGGGTGTCCCGAAAATGTCTCGCAATCCGGGAATGGGAGGTTCCTGAGGTCATTTGAAGCAACTTTTTCCTTTGCGAATATGTTCTCCGAGGCTTCGTTTACGAGTTATTAACGAAAAACACTGACCAATGAGAGGCGAGCACGGCTGGCGCGAGGCGGCCCAGCCAACGAGTGCACGGAGTCCAGTTCCGCTCATTGGCTCGGCCGTCTCGCGCCGAATGATCTCGCCTCTGATTGGTCACTGTTTTTCGTTAATAACTCATAAACGAAGCCGCGGATTGCATTTTCGCTAAGGAAAAAGTTGCTTCAAATGACCTCGGGAATCCCCTACTTTCGGATTGCGATACATTTGGGACACCCTGTCTATTAAACAGATACAAAAATTGTCTTTCTCTAGCAAGAAATTCTCTTGCTATTCAAAGAGCTCCACAAACATCGCCGAGTTTCGTCTCGTACGTACACGTTATTCCATCGTGCGGTTAACACTGTATCGGCCGCCCACACCGTTAACAGCTGTATTGTCTATCGTCGCAAAGTCATCCCGTATGCTTGTCGGTGTCCCGAAGAGAGTCGCAGTTGTATCGGCCGGACCACCCGGTGCATGGGCTCGTCCCGAATGCAGTATTTTGTAGCTCGGGGGCCGTTGAGCGCTGCAAGCTTTCCCTCGAATTTTTCATTGGCGCGAAACTCGTCGCAGCGCGAAACGCGGCTCGGAGGGTTAAACAGCGACAAACGTTCTGTGCAACAACGGGCCGGGTCGTTAAAACCGTTTCCGACGGATCCGCCGGATTGTCAGCGGGGGGTGGAAAAACGCCGATGACACGGGCCAGGGCAAGGGGAACGCGGCGAAAACGAAGGACACAGGCGATACCCGTGAAAGCGTAATGACGGCATCACGCGCGGAGAGAGTTCCGCGCGGGAAGCCGAGCGGGTACAGCGGGTAAACTTCCGCGGAAAAAACGATATCGAGGCCGCTGCCGCGTTGCGCCGCGCGGAGCGGAGTCGAGTCGAGCGACGGGTACAACGGGTTGATTTTCGCTTTTTCCCGACGGGTAGAGCTTCCACACTGTCGCCATTCAGCACTCCGCCGTGTAACCGAAACGAGCAATTTGCAACCGTTTCCTCTCCCTCCCCACGATCCGTTCCGCTTCGATCCTCTCTCTCTCTCTTTCTCTCTCTCTCTCTCTCTCTCTCTCTCTCTCTCTCTCTCTTCGCTCCGGCCGGTTCCGGGCGTAGAATTTTTACGCGGCCAATTTTTTCTCGAAATATTCGAACAGCAGAGCCACTTTCGCGGTCTGGCCGGAGAAAAATCGGCGAGATACCGCGTGAAATCCGCTCGGCGTGAACGCCGGCTGCGGTACGCGCCGCGCCGCTGTCTGCTCCGATGCGATTGCCACACTGCCGCTGCCAATCGAAAGTGTCTTTCAGCGTCGCGAGCCTAAACGAACGTATAAACTAACCGTTGGTTGGGCAACGCCGATTCGTTTTTGCGCGAACCACTTCGTTAAGTTTGGTCGCGAAGAAAGTCGGCGACCCGGTCGGATATTTTAGCGGATTCGCGGCCGGGAATTCGGAGTATTTCGAAGGTGCCCCCCCCCCCTCCCGTCGGAATTTTGGAACATCGTCGGCCTTAAATTGAAGCACGGAGAGTCCGCTTCGGGACGGTATAATCATTGTTTAAAAAGACGGCCGAGAATATTAAGAGAAATCAGAAATTCCGGACCGCGAATTCTGCGCAACGAATGACACGATTTTTAAAGAATACGCCCATTTTCAGTCTCGTTCCCGTGAATGTGTTTCATTGTAACTCGGCTCGAATTAAAGCTGCGAGTGTCCTCTTTGGAACAGGGTAGATTGGATTAAGGAAGAATCGCGGGATCGTTTCGGACAATCGAAAATTCCCGACCGCTGGCTCGGAGAGACGAGGGCTCGGCGAATTTCAAGGATAATTTCGGCTTAATTTAAGCTTGTAATTCCGTGGGAATTTTTCAAGTTCTATAGGCTCGAATCGAAGCTCGAACAGTCTTTTATGAGACAGAGTTACCTTCGTTAAAAGGCGAACGCGGCGACATTTCGGAAAATCGACAAATTCCGTCACCTTCGCGCAGCATCTTTGCGCTTGGTTAAAAACCGAAAGTTCTCGGACAGCAAAATCGAACGGTGGAAAAGCTCGCTTGGAACAAGCGTGATTGTTAAAAAAGAGCAGCACCCGAGGCAATCACATTAGGTTGCTCCAACTACGCCCTGAATGCGTTCAAATGCTTAAAAATGTTGCTCGGCGCCGTTCGACCGAATGGACCAGCTTTGGCGCCCCTTTTTGTCTAATTACGGTAATATCGGCTTAATTGCACGTGCCGGGTCCGCGTTGCGACAGTTATCGGGGGAGGTAAGCGTTCCGAGAATTGCGCCCGGCCGTTTTCCCGAGTGCATCGAAGACTAGAGCGAGAAACATTAAGCTAGAAACGAGAAGGCTGGGCGGTTCTAGCGGCTGCTGTACCTCCGGCGGCTAATTCCGCGCTAAAGGAGCCGAAAAAATGCCTCCACTATGCGGCAACTACACCGTGGCTCGCGTGCTCGTATTAAAAGGTTCGATAAAAAATGAAATTTACAAAGCGGACTCGTAAGGTTCTCGCGCAAGGCGGTCCACAGGTGGTCTAAAAATACGAACGAAAGGGACAAATGAAAATGAGATCGCGAGGACCGCTCGCGCAGGTTATCGGACCCGAAGCCACGGCTACGGGGCCGCAATTAGGCCGCGATCAAGGAAACAAACAGGAAGCAGAGAAGGAAACCAGATGACCGTGTAACCGGCGCGCCGCGAACCAACCGGCTTTCCGTTTCTCCTCGAATCTCGGCGGGAGTCCAGCGTACCGTGCGATCGTAACGTTCCGAAGAATTTGCTTTTTATTCGACGGTGTTGCGTCTCTGGCGCGCACGTGATTCGCGTTCGTGGAATCGTCGAGAGGAGAGCTGCACGATAAAATTCGTGACATCGCGCGGCGAGGCGAGGCGAGGCGACGCGACACGTCTTTCCGACGGCAATTTGAGAAATTGTGTTGCGAGAGACGGCCGACAATCCACGAATGATAATCGTCCCACGTAGAACCGCGGCGATACGCCTCTCCGTGTCCTCTTTTCCCGTTCCCCGTGCAGCTCCGGCGTTCGCGGTGCACGCCTCCGCGTCAAAGAACAATGGAGCGACGAGCAGGATGCGCGACGCGACGCGCCGAGAACACGCAACCGAGCTGCCGAGCTACCTTCCACCGAATATTTCATACGGCTACACAACCGAAAGGCCACCCCGGTAACCAGCCCGAGGAATTCTTGCGAGATTCTGATAACTCCCGGAATAACGCCGGGTTCGTCAAATTTCACGCTGGTTCTTCAACCGAGCGAGTTTAGATAACGCGCCACGGTCTAGAGCGCAAAGGTCGCTCTATCGATTCGGCTAATTATTTGTAGAGAGTTTTTCTCGAAGTCGCGGGTTCGAATAACATTTGTCCGGAGCTGAGGAAAACCGAGAAGGAAAACCAGCAGAGCCGACGGACAGCGGAGAGGAGAATTCACGCTGGATGCAGAAGTCGATATAAAGATGCGGGGATGGTAAACATTGTCTCACGGTATCTTAACGTTATTCGTCTTAAATCGAAGCTCGAAGAGTCTACTTTCAGACAGAGTAATTTCTATTTGAAACGTATGCGAGGACATTCCGAAAAATCGAAAAACACAGAGAGCCGATTCGAAGGAAACTGCCTCGTTTCAATTTTCGAGGGTAGCTCGAAACTGATTCAAAGTGACATTATCGTAGGATTTTTTCAACGTCGTTGAGCTTAAATCGAAGCTTGAAGAATCTACTTTCAGACGGGGTAATCTTCATTTTAAAAAAAAGTCGCGAAATCGATTGGAAAAACAGAAAAAGGTTGGTCAGCTGATTCGAAGTAATGCGGCTCGATTCTCGAACCTAGCTTCGAATCGATTTCAAGTTGCATTCCCGCGGAACGTTTTTAACGTAATTCCGCTTAAATCGAAGCTCGAAGTGTCCTCTTTCGAACAGAGCAGATTAAATGAAACGTGAACCACGAATTCATTTCAAGAAACGAAAAAACCCGATCACTGATTCCGACCTGAGAACACCGTTTCAAAGTCCAGGAAAGCCGCTCTATTGTCGAATTCGCGGGAACGGGGAACAGATCGATCCTACCAGAACCAGCGGCCGATCATTATAACGAAATCTCGTTAAATTATTACTTCGGCCTCTGCCGAAGCTCTTTAGGAAGCGAGCAAACCAAC